TTTCTGAGGGGCAGTAAACAGCTGACTGTGGCTCGCTTTGAGCCTCTCGGATGCCTTTTGCTTCTTGTAAGCCAGTCACTTACTGACTTTAAAGGCTGTGGACATTGAGAGATGGCCCCGTGGGTGAAAAAAGCTGTGTCAGGATGGACTGGCTCCCAAAGTGTCGGCAGGTCTTTGGCCTCTCCCCTTCCGAAGGGACAGCTTCGCCTGGCTGGTGATAGATCTCGGCGGGGTTAGTCTCATCAAACAAGGACTCCTTGTTACTGTCTGCTCCAGTGCCTGGGGCCCAGCTGTGCCACTTCGCGCACTGACTTTGTTTTTCCTAATAATCTGGTTACAGTAATTGACATTTTAACTCAGAGCCGTTATAGCTGCCTCAGTCTATTTAAGAGCTGGGGACTTCAGGGCCTAGAAAAATCTTTTTACAAATGTATGCAGCAAAAATAGTGTGTTCCTGAACAGGGAAGGGAAATCTGTATTTGGACTCTGTGTGTGAGCACAGCTCTCGTCTCTGAGACGGATCAGATGGTGCGAAGAAGGATCTGGGGGCTGTGGTGACAAGGCTCCCCGCGCCAAGCCTGTCCTGACTGCGCAGGGTTTCCCTGGCCGCTTGGCTTTTCTGGGACCTCTTGTTTGCACCCATTTCCACAGGGTTGTGCCTCGGAAACCTCCCCGCGGTGAAGAGCCGGTGTCGGCTGGGCTGGCACGGTCCAGAGGCAGAGACTGCTTCTCAGCCGGCAGCCCTGCGGCAGCCCTGGCACCACCGCTGCCAAGGCACCTGTGGGAAACCTGCCTTGCCGTGCTTGCTCGTGTGCCTTGCAGCCAAAGCAGATACCTTCCCGGGCACTCTGCGCATCTGCTCTTACCCCGCTGGGCTCTAGTCCTCGCTGCCAGGCGGAGGGGGTGGCTGCTGCTGCAGGAGCTAGTGCAGGATCGGTGCGGTGCACCCCAGAGCGTTAGCGAATGGCTTTTCATCCGGCCCTGGCTCTGACTGTGTGCTCTTGGTTCCCCACAGGGGTGAGAACGGGCCCGGAGGATTCATCGTACTGAAATGTCCCAGCAACCCCAGGGTCTGCACGTTCATCTGGATTCTCAACACGGACCTGAAGGTAAAGCCAGTTCTTTACTGATGCACAAACGCTGTGGCCGTATCCTGTCCCCAGCAGGGCTCACCAGCAGGCTCCGGAATCCCCTGCGTAGCGCAGGCTGCGTGCTGAGGACCTGCTCTCTGCTCCAGCGGCTGCAGTCCCGCTGGCTGCTTCTGGAAGCGGCTCATTATCAAAGGCTGCCCTAAAGGGACTTGAGTTTTGCAGGTGGAGGTTAAACACTGCCTGAAAATCAACCTCATTCCCCCTGAAGTTGCCCCAGTGCGAGATGGGGAAGCTTTTCCTTACCTGGCAGAGATCTTGCTTAGGAGTTTCACATCTCTGTGTGCAGGACTGGGGGAGAGGAGATTTTTATCCTCTTTGAGAACTGAAAATAGTGGGGCGTGTGAAGTGTTGTCTGGCTGCTGGCTGTTCCCAGGAACCCGCTGAAGGGGCGATCCACTCGCCCCTGCGTGCCCTGCTCCCAGACACCCTGGTACAAGCACGGCCACCCCTGGAGTGCGTGGGACTGTGTCCGCACCTGGGGAAAGGTGCTTTGGCCATATGAGATGACCCAGATCTGGAGCTATTTACAGAGCTGCGTGTCGAGTCCTTGCTGGTGGCCCAGACAAAAGGCAGCGCACGAAGGGAGCCAGGGTCGGGCGGATGGGGGGAGCGGAGCTGGCCCGTTTTCTTCCTTCGCTGAAGGTTGACGTGGTAACGGCGCTGCAGCAGCGAGCACAAAGACTCCATTCATCAGCCCTCTGCTGCAAAGCTGCGCGGCCCCCTCCCCTCCCACGTCCCTCCCTCCCCACAAAGTAGATCAGCTCCTGCCTGCCTTCTGAAATGCTTTGGAAAGGATATGCAGAAGCGCTTGCCTGGGCAGCAAAAGCAGGGGCAGAGCAGAGCATGGCTTCGTGCCCCTTTGCGCTGGAGATGTTTTCCTTCATGGATCTGGCTCCGATGCCTCTTCCGCCCCTCTGTAATGAGCGTGTTGGGAGGGATAACGAACCCACTTGGTTGTGCAAGATGGGGCTCAGAAAGGAAAGATGTTCCTTGTGCTTCCTGGGCCGGAGAGCGCTCGCCCACTGCCTGCCTCCGCTGCTGGAAGAAATGCCGTAGCGGCCGAGCTATTAATAACCCGCCTGTCAACTGCTTCCACCATCTTCCTGAAGGGCTCTGCTAGTGCCCAGACCCCTCTTCTGTGCTGCCTTGTTATTTCCTTTGGCCCTGAAGAAGTATTTATAGTACATGGCTCATCCCTTCCTGCGACGAAGGGTGAGAATTACACACGTGTGTGTGTTTGTCTGTGATGGAGCTTCACCCCGGAGCTCGTTTCAGGGAGGTGTCTGAAATGGCCCCTGGACCAACAGTCTCACAATCTCCTGCCCCCATGTCGCAGTGAAAATCTGCTCCAGGGAAAAGTCTCTGCCTCCTGAAACACCCCAGTCCAAGTCGGGGGGACCTCCTGTGCCTACCTAACCCCCCCAGGACAGTTGGCAAGCCATCCCTGCCTGAGCTGCCCTCACCTCGGACCCCTTCTCTGCCCTGGGACCCCGCGCAAGCCCCCGGCGCTGCTCCCAGCCCTGCCTCAGCTCCCTTCCCCCGCAGAAGCAAAGATTATTTTTTTTTTATGCATCTCACATAATAGAACACAGGCCGAGGCGGTTGGGGTTGAGTCGTGCAGGGCTTTTTAGAGAAATCAAAACGTGTTTCAGTTCCTCCCCCGGAGCAAGCTCCTTGAAAGCGGCAGCTCCCCGCTGCGGTGCTCGTGCATCCCTCAACCCTGGCTGACACCGCTGGGTCGGGATGGGGGGCAGCCCTGAGCCCTGAACCCAGCGATGTCTCCTCCGTGCTGCCTTGACTCATGGCTCCATGCTCGTCTGCTTTCCCCGCAGGGTCGCCTGCCCCGTTACCTGATCCACCAGAGCCTGGCAGCCACCATGTTTGAGTTCGCCTTCCACCTCCGCCAGCGGGTCAGCGAGCTTTCCGGCAAGCCGTGAGCAGCGGGGACCTGCCCTCGCCAGACATTCCTCTGCCCTCTCTCCTCTGCAGCCGGGGGACAGCTGGGAGAGGACCCTGTGGCCCCCAGGCCCTCACCATGACCCCCCCCAGGGAGGATGCCCCATACTAACAGCGCTGAGATGAGGCTGGGGCTTGCTCAGCTCCTTCTGCCATCACGGTTCCCCTTAACCAGGGCCCTGAAACCACTGACTTTTGTGTGCCAAACCCCTGCCCTGCCCTCCTCTGGGTCTGACCTCCCCCCGTCCCCTCACGCAGGGGTTGGGGGCTCATCTGTGACCCCCAGACTCCTGTACTTCTGCCCCAGTTTGATGAGAAAGAGGGGCCAGAGGAGAAGGCCACGTTACGGTGAGGACACGGGTCCGTCCCTTCACCGTCTGTCCAGCCGAAGCCCCGTGCCGGGCTCTGCCCCTCTGCATGTGGGGGCAAAGGCGCAGCTTGTGCCCAGCTCACGGCCGTTGTTCCCCCCGGGGGCTGTGCCCCCCACCTGGCTATCTGCAGGAGGGGATGGGGCGTCCGTGCAGGGGACCCCTCCGGGGCTGTTCCCTGGTGCTTCGGGCTCCCCAAGTTTCCCCCTGGGGCTTGGCTGAGCTCACCCCCCCCCCCCGCAACCTGCAGCTCCGGGTGGAGGCAGAATGTGATTTGCCTTAAGTGGAGACTTTTATCCTTTTCGGGGGGTGCAGGGGGTGGGAGGGGGGGGTGCGGGGGCGACTGCGCCTTCTTTCTACCTGTGAGCGCCGGTGCTGTGTTCTGCGCTATAAATGGAAACAGCGCAAAGCCGCCCGCACGCGGGGGCAGATGCCGGCAGCGCTGTGGGGAGGGGGGAGCACCCACACCAGGCCCCCCTGGGCTTTCGGCCCCCCACACCGGCCCCCCACGCCTGTGAGGGGTGACGCCTCTGGCCGGCACCTGTCAGAATTAAAAGCCTTCCACTGTTTGCAGCTCCTTGTCTTCCACGTGCCCTTTGTAACCCGAGCAAATAAAAGCGAAGAGGAACGCTGGCCCAGCTGGATCGTGAGCAGTCGTGGGGCTGGGGCCAGCCCGAAGCCCCCCCACGCTGAAAGAACGGGTCCTCCAGGCTCCTTTGGCCACTGGCCGTGGGTATCACTGTCGCCCATCCCATGGTGGCACCGGCAGCTCCTGGCCATCAGCGTGGAGCATCTGCATCTGCCCCGGTCACCCCCGGCAAAGGTTTCCCCAAACGTCCCCTGGAGCGGGACCACCGCGGCTGGAAGGGGCTGGAGACCCATGTCTGCCGGGGCAGCGGCCACAGCCACGTGAACCCTGGCCGCTGGCACCCGGCGAGCACCCGTCTGTTCGAGCCCCCATCTGTTGCCCCTACAAATAGCCCAGCCTTGGGGGGGTTCTTATGGCCAGCATGCCCCTGCCCGCTCGCCTGGCATGGCCTGTCCCCGGGGGGGGGGGACACACGCTGCGATGGGCCCCCAGTGGCCCTTTGAGGGCAGCGGCAGGACCACGGCTGCCGTGGGCCAGGTGGCACAGGGTAGCGCGGCCACCGCGTTGGCACCGGGCTCCCACAAAGCCGTTAACGCCTCCGGGGTCCGTCGTGTTCGCTTGGTCCTGGGGGCCGGTGCCAGCGCCGCGGAGGGCAAGGAAAGGCCAGACGTGCCCTGGACCGGGGCCAGGGGGTCCTGCCTGCACCACCGTAGGGTGGCAAATGGCCGGTGGGCACATGGGGCTGAGCGTGGCCGGACACACACACGGGGTGACACACGTGTCTCCAGTGCCACCCCCCCGCCCCCGTCTCCCCGGCTTGCCCCGAGGGGGCCCTTGGCACCCTCCAGTCCCCGCGGTGCCAGCAACACATCCCAAAATAGCCTCGGCAGGGCCATATAAGCGGGATGGGTGGGTAGGTGGGGGGTCAGCAGCAACATGCTGGTGCCGAGTACGGTAGTACGCAGCGGGGGGCTGCTTTCGGGTGCCCGCCTGGGCTGTCGTGTGCGGGAGGAGGACGTGGGACGTCGCGAGACGTTCAGTGCCGAATGGCTGGACCTGGAGCTCAGTACCCGGCCTGAGGATGGGTGAGGGGCACCGCTGCTGTGGAGGGTGGGCAGGGGTCCTTGGGGTGCTGGGGCTATAGTGGGGGCACTGGGTGGTTGAGGGTCCCCAAGGG